ACACACACACACACACACACAGTAACACCCACAAGTTGTGTCAAACTTTTGGTAGGATGACAGGTCAATTAACGCAAATGCTGACCAACTTTCCGATTGCCTTAAGAATGGCTGGGCGAATCTACAGCTTTAGGGTAGATTTCATCCGAGGCAAGTGTTCGGCGTGTGAGCTGCAATAGAACAGCTTCTGTCGAAGCCTCGTCTGTCATGGAAACATCGTCTTCCCGGCCGGCGTTCCTCCGCCTCGTGCGCCAATCTGTATCATTCGACGGTCGTTGGGTTGAATTGTCTTTTCGCGCGGCTAAAGTTTCCCTTCTTGCGTTGCCCAGCGCCACTCCGGCTCCAGAGCACTTGTCGCAAGGGCATGCTCGAGTTCGCCAGTTCATTGCGGACTCGAGCCTTTAGGGTTTGCAAGGGCTCGGAGTAGACGAGAGCCGCAATGGGAAGAGCTGAGCGGATTTCAGGGCACGGGCCCAGGCTGACTTCACCGAGGAATGTACTGCTCGACTGGGTGAGAAAGCCCAAAGTAGCATCAGCATCATGATCGGCATCAGCAACAACTTACCAAGTGTCGCAATCAACATCATCCTCAACTACATTGTCAGCATTTTTGATAACAAACATTTCATTTTTATCATCATAACCATCTTCCTCAACATCAACATCAGCAGCAGCATAAAGTTCAACATTCTAAACATCGCATTCATCGTCATCATCACAACAACAACAATATCGTCCTCATTAGCATAATCATCATCATCATCGTCATAGCCAGCATTGCAATAATATTAATCATCATCATCCTAATCCTCAACTACATTATAAACATCTGAAATAACACTAATATTATTATCATCATCATAACCATCCTCCTCAACTTCAACATCAGCAGCAGCATAAATTTAATCATTCTAAACATCGCATTCATCATCATCATCACAACAACAACAATATCGTCCTTGTTAGCATAATCACCACCATTAGCAGCAGAATCAACATACTCATCATCTTAACCATCATAATCCGCGTAAACAGCATCATCATCATAGCCGGCATCGTAATAATATTAACCATCATCTTCATCAGTGAAAGCATGGCCGTCATCTTTATACTCATCACAATCATTATTATAATCATCATTAACGACAACAATATCGTCCTCATTTGCATAATCATAATCATCATCCT